GTGTGTGTGTGTGTGTGTGTGTGTGTGTGTGTGTGTGAGGGGGTGGGCAGGGGGTGCTGGGGAAGAGGGAGATTTTCAACCCACTCAGCTCTTTCTCAAACACGTTTGTTTTTTTGTTTTGTTTTTTCTAACATAATTGAGAAGGTCATTTCTCTTCTGAATCTGCACTTGACCCAGTGTGGGTTCTCTCCCCTCTCCTTGGTGGGACCACATCCTCTTTGGTTACTATTTATGTTGAAGCTTTTAAGAAATATGAAAGAAGACACATGAAGTTCTGACCTCAAAATGTTAGTTCCCTTTACCTTATTTCATTATGTCCATTTTCCCCCCTGGTTTGGATCAGAATTTTAGAACATCAAGGATCTTGGAGATCTTCCAATTCAACATCCTCACGTCATGGAGCTCATAAAATAAGAATACCTAATGTTAAAAGAGCACTTACTAAATAGCAGGCTAAGTGATTTATGATATTATCTGATTTAATCCCATAACCTCATCAGGTGGGTATTTATCAGATATTATCTGATTTAATCCCATAACCTCATCAGGTGGGTATTCATATTGACTTCATTTTACAGTGAAGCAAACCAGTAACTTACTTAGGGTCATATGGTTGGTAAGCAGCAGGGCTGCGACTCTGCCATAGGTGGGAGGTTCCCTAAATCTGTTTGATTGGAACCACTACACTGCCGTTCTAATTCTTGGCTTTTCAGGTGACGTGAGTTCGCCACCTAGCTTTACTCTACAGGTTTATTTCAGAGATCATATTCCTAGCTCCCAGTTGGGAGGGCTCTGTCCTTCAGTGCTGCCTTGTTGAGATATGCAGGGTTAAACCTGACTCCGTGTCCCTCTCTGGTACCCACAGGTCACAGCAAACCAAGATCCCAGAGCATCAGCAAACAGATGAGTTGTATCCCACTAGTGGGTCTGGAGAGAGCGAACAAGATGCTAAAGCCAAGGAGGAGAAGGCCATAGACCGTATGTCTCTTCCCAAAGAGAAACTGGCCCAATCCCAGAAGAAAGTAGCTCAGCTGATTAAGGGAAAAATGATAATAAAACAAAAAACTCACTGGGTTTTCCATTTAAAAATACGTCCATGACTAGAGAAGTTCTTCCTTAATTGCAGATCGAAGGACATGAAGTAGAGGAAGGTGTAATATTTCTCTATAAGTGGAAGAAAAGAAAGCAGAGCATAGTCGGTACCCAGCCCGCCTTCGGGCTCCACACGTGGGTCACTGTGCATACCTCCTTGGAGTGTTTGTGCTCCTAGCTTTAAACTAAAAATTGTTTGCTTCTTCCTGTTGCTGTTTGATTACGTTAATTAAAAAATCATCTTTTGATTTCTCCTGAAAGGTTTCAGAATAATATCTTTTGGGTAACAAGAAGGCCAGGATAGTGAGGCAGGAGGCTGAGAACAAGGGTAGCCAGGCAGAGTCTAGGCTCAGGCCTGGCAAGGATACGGTGAGATGCCTGTGGTTACAGTGGAATCATAAGCAAACCAAAAGACCGGAAGTGGGCGGTAGCAGCAGGGGTCAGAGAGTGTAGGTATCCATTTTCAAGAGCAAAGCAAGGACTTGGGAACTGGGACCTCAGAGCAAGCGTTTAGCAAGAGTGTTCAAAATGCGGGAACCCGAGAAAGCATGTCAGTGACCCTCACAATTAACACACAGGCACCGACCTGCTCCCAGAGCATTACTTATCAACAAAGGAGTTCATGTGCTGACTTACTGACTTCCTGGCCATTCCTGGCTAAAGGAAAAAATGATCTTAACGTACATGTGTGAAAAAAAAAAACTCTGCAGATGGCTTAGGAAAGGCTGAGAGGCACTTCAGAGGGAGATGATAGAAGCTGATACTTCCCTAGATGGATGTATTTATAATATAAAGTTACCTCTGTAAAGTACCCAGAAACTTGCAAAGGACCATCATCCTGACCTGGATCCAATAGTATTTCATAAACCCAGGCTAGAGTGATCACTTCTAGAAAGACAAGTACCAACTGCTGTGGAATGCAAGTGTGGGCTTTTAAGACTTGACAGCTCCTCGGGACTTCCCTGGTGGCGCAGTGGTTAAGACTCCCAATGCAGGGGGTCCGGGTTTGATCCCTGGTCTGGGAACTAGATCCCACATGTGTGCTGCAACTAAGAGTTCACAAGCCACAACTAAGGAACCCGCCTGCCGCAACTAAGACCCAGCACAACCAAATAAATAAATATTAAAAAAAAAAAAAAGACTTGACAGCTCCTTGACCAGTTTGGTTAATGACAAAGATTTAGATTTAGGAGTTATATCTAGCCCAGCTCAGCGCTCACAGCCCTGAAGGACAGGAATATTGGTGGCAGGAGCAGCAGCCCTGGATTGACCTCTAGAGCCCATACTGGTTGTCTCAGTTTCCCCAGGGCGGGAAGTGTGGGGATGAATGAATACAGAATGTCCAGAGCCAGGACAGAACTCAAGGCTTTGGACTCTCATTCCAGTGATTTTTCATGATGTTATGCTTCTCCCTTAGAATAGAACTTAGTATTTACTGTGCGTTCAGCCCGTGCAGAACTCTCAAAAATTCTGACTGAATGGATGTTTCTAAAACACGAGGGGAAATGTCGCTCTAACACTGTTTGCGTCTGTGTGTTTGAGCTGGGAGGGGTGAAGCATCAGGGTAGGAAGGAGATGGGGTGGGGGGACGGGAATCATGGGGATCGGAAGGGAGCAGTCCTCAGACCACTCTGTCTGTGTGTTACTCTGTAAATGGTTACATGCAGATAACACGTAACAGATTTGGATCACTTTGATGTTGACTCACTTTCCCTACAGTAACTCCATGAGGTAGATGATATAGATTTCCAGATAGAAAAGGAAGCTGGGACTCAGGGTGATCTTGCCCCAAACATCACAGTCAGTAAACAGAGGGTTGAAACTCCAGGCTTTTGAGTCCCTGAAGTGCCGTTTTCACCTCACCGGGAAATGAATGCCTGACTTTGTCAGCGCAGCCAGTCGATGACTGTGTTTGTAGAGTTACTGACATCTGTGACCTGAAGGTGCAGTTCTCTGATTTCTTAGAGAGCTCTGCCTGTCAGTTCTACAGAGCCAGGGGCTCTCTCCCCGCCTCATACTTATCTTTGCCAATCGAGAGATGATTTATTCAGCAAATACTGAATGTGCGCCTCCTCTCTGCATGGAGCATACAGCAGTGAACATGAGAAATAAACTGTTCTTTTATTTATTTATTAAATTTATAAATTTATTTATTTATTTTTGGCTGTGTTGGGTCTTCATTGCTGTGGCGAGCAGGGGGCTACTCTCTGTTGCGGTGTGCAGGCTTCTCATTGCGGTGGCTTCTCTTGTTGTAGAGCACGGGCTCTAGGCATGTGGGCTTCAGTAGTTGTGGCACATGGGCTCAGTAGTTGCGGCACGCAGGCTCTAGAGCGCAGGCTTAGTAGCTGTGGCGCACAGGCTTCGTTGCTCCGCGGCATGTGGGATCTTCCCGGACCAGGGCTCGAACCTGTGTCTCTTGCATTGGTGGGCAGATTCTTAACCACTGCACCACCAGGGAAGCCCCAGGAATAAACTGTTCTTGAGGAACTTATTTTCTATTTGGGGAGACAGATCATAGACAAACAAAATAATAGTTACTGCAATATCAGAGAGAGTGCCATGAAGAAAAAAATCAAATAGGCAATGGGATAGTAAGTGATGGGGTGAGAGTCTGCTTTAGATAAGGTGGCCAAGGAAGGCCTCTCTGAGGTGAATGCAATGAGGGTAACGCAATGAAGGCCTCTCTGAGGTGAATGCAATGAAAATGACAGAAGAGGGTAACGATGTGTGAGAGTGTCCCAAGCTGGGGGGACAACAGGTGTACAAGCCCCAAGTTAGAAATTAGTTTGCTATGTTCAGGAATATCAGGTTTGTTTAAAAATCCAGATATGTTTATTATAATAATAATAATAAGAAGAAGAAGAATGATAAATAACTAGCTATTTGGTCACCATTGGAGGATGCTAGTGAATGAACTCATTATTTGGAAAGCTGATAAATAAAGAGAATGATTAAATCATGTGTCCTGTCCTTCTGATACGAACTGTACTATTGGGTAACTAAGAAGGAGATGAGAGGAGATTTCTTTTTATAAAGTTATTCCACCTAACATATGAAGAGGGAATGATAGAATTGGGATATCAGCGTTTTATAATCTTTTATAGATTAATTCATGTAGTTGTGCTTTTAGCAGAAAGAGACAACCCAAGGTTAGGTGTCTTCTGATGGTAGAACATATGAAGTAGTTTTGCTTAAAAAAAAAAAGCTAAAGGTAACCAAACTTCTAAATCAACCACTAATATAAAGGCAGAATGGAGACTGGAAGGACATGTTGAGTGACACCATAAAGATTCAACCAAATTTCCATTTTTGGGAAACACTATAAACCAAATAACTCAGTTTCTTCAATAAATAATTTGCAATGAAAAGACTTAGAAATGGAGGTGGAACCCATTGATGAAAAGAGACTCATGAGACTGATCTCAGTGTAGGGACAATTAAACTGTAAAAGAAATGTTAGCTTTATGAGGTAATTATTAGGTTTATGAGACTAGGTATTTGATAGTAAGGAATCATTATTAATATTTTGGTGAGAATGATTTTGTGGTTATATTTCTAAGTCTGTATCTTTTGGAGATACTTATGAAATATGAAATGATTTAATATCTTTGCTTTGCTTCAAAATCGTAGAGGGAGAGGGTGGATGCTTGAGGAGCATAGGTATGAAACCAGATTGGCTGTGAGCGATGAAGCTGACTCATTCTCCATGCTCTTTTTGTATACTGTTAAAGTTTTTCGCAATAAGAGGTTAAAAGAAGTCACTCTGGCTATGATGTAGAAAGTAGACTATGGGGGGCAAGAGTGGAGGCAGTTAGGAGGGGCTGTGGTCACCCAGGTCAAAGATGAGGGTGGCTTGGACTAGGTACACGTGGCAGAAATGAGAAGTGTGTAGCTTTAGGACTTAGGAATAGGGTGGAGCCAAGAGGACTTGATGGATTGGCTGTGGGCTGGGAAGCGGGGAGGAGAGAAAAAGTTGACAGTGGACGCAGTCCTGCAATCCAGTGATAAGATACAGGCTGGAGATTTTCCTCCTTTCCACAAAGTGTAATGACTTGTTTGCTCTCTGCAGAATACCCAAGCAAATGAGGAGCTGATTTGCTGTGTCATCCTTTCTCGGATTATTTTTGGGGAAGAACCCTGGAAATGTGCACAGGCTTTGGCCACCCTGGCTTATGGCTACGTGACACTGAGAGGTATTCGATTTCCCCGACTGGGTCTGGGGGAGCCAGCCACACTGAGCCCATACAGAACCACAGTCGGGGTGGGGTTGCCCAGGGGAGGGTCCATCCTGTCCCCAACTCACACCTTGTCAAGAAGCGGGGAAGTCCATGGATGAGGCGGGCAGTGTGACAGGGATCGTAGAGGTAAAGGTAATAATGAGGGAAGGAAAGCAGAGGACAGAAGCCTGGAGGACAAGAGCGTTAGGGTTGGGTAGCGGAAGCGGAGCCAGCAAGGAAATAGAATCAGGAGGGGCCAAGTCATGGAAGCCAAGGGCGGAGAAGGGGTTTCAAAAGGAAGTGCAGTGTGGTTTCAGCAGGGTCAGATGGCAGAGAGAGGTCAAATGAGGTGAAGGCCGAAGACAGACCCATGGATTTGTCAGTTGGCAAGTCATTGACACTTGGTTTGGCACCAACAAGTATACTCCTTGGGCCCTGGGAGAGCCCAGATTCAGGGAGACAACTTAGGTAACTATTTTTGAAATTCTGACCTGAGGTGATGGCAGCTTGAACCTGAGGGGAAAGTACCAGAAGCGTTTGCGGGGGATGTTTGTCTGAACCGAGGGCAGGCAGACACGGCCTCCCTTTCTTTAGAGAGATTACTATGGTAGGTCTGTGGAAGGAGGTTGGCCTTCATCTTCTGAAATCAACCCTTTCTATGAATAGCCACAGTAGACTTTGAGTTTTGCTTTTCCAGTTAGATTCCAGACTAACGCAAGACAGGTAAACAGGTTATATTATAAAAGATGGTGGGAGCACCACCCTCTTTTCCCTAATTCACAGTTCTTCCTGCCGCATGAATGGAGAACCACATTTGAGTAGTAGGTTGGAGGGGAAAAAGTTTTCCTGTAAAAGAAGGTCTTTTTGTGTGTTTGTTTTTTCTAGATGGGAAAAACAACTTCCTGATTAGCTGAAATGCCCACATAATATAACAGCACTCAGTCTTGAACCCAGACTTTCTGAGGCCTAGCCTAGAGTTTTTCTAGAATAGGTTTTGATTATGGCCGTACCTTGAGAATAGCCTAGGGTCTCTTATTTCAGGTATAGGCCTTACCCAGTTTCTTCACTTTAACTTTTTTTGAAGTCTGTGGTCCTTCAAATAAAACAACGAAAGCTTTGAAAAATCACGGACCTTCAAGAGGGATGAAGTGCTTGCTGAATTCCACTTAGTTTTGTTGTCGTTAATCCTGTAACTGCTGCAAAATGGACAGAATTTATGAGCCAGGCTCCCGTGCGGGTGGGACGCATGCGTCTGTGTGTGCTCGCGCCTTGCTGCACATGCGCATGCTTTATGGCCGGCAGACCTGCCTGCCTCATTTCCCTGGGAGCCTTTTCCAGCAATGGGGGAAGGGCGTCAAGCCAGAAGGCTGATTTCTCTCGATAAATGGTCTTCCAGTAAGTATTTAATGAGACACTTGTATATGTGAAATTCTTGGACGAGGGCTCTGGGAACTATAAGGGGCAGAAGGCACAGTCGTTGCCTTCAGAGAACTTACAACCTCGTATGGAAGGTGAGCTACCCACGGACAACTGCGATAGAAGGCACCGGAAGGCACCAGAAGGCCATGGGACTGGTTTAAATGCAGGGCTTTGGGGGCGCTGGGTGAAATCATTTCTGACTGAAGGTAGTAAGTGATAGATTCAGGAAGAGGTACCATTCAAGAAGGCCCTTTAACAATGAGTAGGGTTGGGTAGGCAGAAGAAGGGGTGGGCATTTCTGATGAAGAACAAGGCCTGGCAGACGCATGGAGGTGGGAAAGTGCAGCGTGTGTTTAGAAAGTAATCAGCAGCGCTGGCTAGATACGGTAAGGACCACTCAGATGAACCTGGAAAGGAGGGCGCTTTGGCCAGGCTGAGGAATTAGTCATTTATTTGGTAGACAAGGAGGACTATTAGAGGTTTTCCAGCAGGGGGATGAATAAATCAAAGTGTGCTTTTGGAAAGGTCAGTCTAGCAATGATAGCTAGAATGGAAGCTATCTCATCCAGCTGTTTACCTCTAGGTGTAAAACCAGGCTGGTGACAGGGGGCACGAGTGAGAAGGTAAGGATTTAAGAGTCTATGAAGGACAGATACCTTTACCTTTTAAGCCAGAAATCCCACTTTTGGGACTCTTTCCTGAATACACACTTAAGTGGATGATATTATTCTTTGCAGCATTGTTTATGATAGTAGAAGATTGGAAACAACCAAGTATACTCATCACTGAAGGACTAATATACACTATGTGGTATATACAGCCTTAGAAAGGGCTTACCTACCACTAGGGAAAGATCTCCTGGATACATCTTTAGGCAACAGAGAACGCACAACGCAGGACCGTGTTTGTAACATACCTCTTTTCAGGTAAGAAGGAGGGGAGAGAAATGAGAATATGTGCTTATATTCACATCAAGAAACACTGAAGGAAACACAAGAAAGAAACAAAAGTTACCTAGAGGCTGCTTGTGAAAGGGAATAGAATTTGAAGTGAGACCTCTCAACGTTTACCTTTTCCTATAATTCTAACTTTTGAACCATGGGAATGTATTACCTATTCAAAAATGATAGTTAAAAAGGGCTGTGAAGGAAGAATTGGCAGGACATGGCATTGGATTTGGGGTTGAGGAAAAGTGAGGCCCCAAGATGACCATGAAGTTTCAGGCCCCTCAGGATGCCATCATCAGAGATAAGCCGGTCAGGAAAGGAAGCGAAGTGGGAGAGGAATGGCGGGTCTGGTTTTTGATATATTGATTTTGAATTACAACGGAGAAATCCACAAGTATATTTTTACTAGGTGCTGGAAAGTTGGGACCAGAACTGGGGAGGAGAGAAGGGGAATCGTAAGCATGGAAGAATATTTGAGACCAGAACTAGGGAGGGGAAATGGAAAATTATAAGCATGAAGGCCGAGGTTGACGTTATAGGAGTTGATAAAACTTCTGAGAGGAGAAGAAAAGGAAGAAATGGAAAGACAGACCCTTGGAGAATGGACATATTAATGAAAGGGAACAGAGGACCCTGGTAGAGTGAGCAAAGAGTCCAATAGAGAAGGTTTATCAAGGAGAGCTGAGTTAGAGCAGTGCCTTGGGAGCCAAGAGGAGAAGCCAAGCAGCCTAGGTGTCTGATGCTGCCATGAGATGGGGATACAAGAAACTGCGACTGCACTTACTCAGTAAGAGGCCCTTGGGGACCTCACGAGAACCACTTCTGCAGAAGGGTTGGAGCAGATGCCAGATCCCAGGGATGAGGGGAAGGCGTGGGCCGGTAGCCTAGGCTGTGTATGCCACGTCCTGCATAGTGAAAGGGATGAGGGGGAACAGGAGGGTAGCTAGGGAAGGCAGAAAGGTCATTTGAAGCTAATTTTATAAGAGGAGGCGACCTGGGAACATTTTAGGCAGTGAAGAAGGAGCCAGATAGAGAGTTTGAAGGTTTTAAAAAATGGAGCAATCGATGCAGCGGGGTTCAGGAGTCAATAACAAAAAAACGCGAGGCCTTTGCGAAGCAGAGAGTGTAAAAGACTGATGGTTGATGAAACAGGGTAAGGGGCACTAGAAGTGGAACTCTGTCACCAGCTGACCTGGCGAGAACCCTCCCGAGCCTAGGGCTTCAGTGGTTGAGAAAAGGGCAGGTGGAGGTGGCTGGTCGCCTTGTGACCACTGTTTCCATGTGTTCAGGAAGGAGAAGACAGTAACATGGGCAAGCAGTTTCCTGGTGTTTTGCCTATTATTAATGAAGCAATGAATTAATTTGTTAGCCTGTTATTACTTGGAACCTTCCAGGTATCTGGGGCTCTAAGTGTTGCAGAAATCTCGAAAAAGATGCATAAGTCATGAACCCTACCTTCTCTGTCTAGTTGGTAAAAAAGCTGGTACAGGAACAACAGGGAATGATAAAGAGCAGTTGGTCTGACCTGCAGGAAGCCTGGTACCTATCTGAAGTGAGTGTGCGTTTGAGAAGGCAGCCTTTTATAAGGATTCTGTAAGCAGCTTTATGAAGAATGTCCAGAGTACATAAGGACAAGTATAATAAATTGCTTAAGGGGAATGGACCCTGGTAGTAATGATGATGATAACAGGTAATATTTATTTAAGCTCATTTCATTCCTGTGTCAGGCACTATTTAATCCTTTTTCATAAATTAATTAAATTAATCCTTGCAACAACCGTACGAGGTGGGAGGTATTTTCATTGCCATCTTATAGGTGAATAAACTGAAGTACAGATAGATTAAGTAACTCATTCAGGTAGTAAGTGGCTGAGCCAGCTTCTGTACCTGGAAGTCTGGCCCTAAGACCCTGCTGTCTTAATCACTGTACCACGAGAACTTCTTAAATATAGGTGATGGTCAAAGGTGACAGCAGCAGCCTCCAAAGACTGAGTAGCTCCGAGAAGATTCTCTGTGGCCTGAGTCAGAGTAACAGAAATCAGTGGTGGAATCTTACCCCAGACTAAAGCAAAATGATCGATACATTTGGTGGACAATCTCTGGACCGCTTTTCCAGTTCATTAATATGCCCTTGTGATTTCTGAATCTCAGGCTCCAGAAGCAGGTCTTGCTGCCACCCTGATTTTTACTTCTATAGTTGCTGCCCTGTTGGTGCAGGGAGAAGGCTGGTGTCCCTGGCTGGGGAGGGCAAGTAAAGGAAAATGACGTGGTCTTGGAACAGACATCGGATTCCGGGAGGTGGGACTTGGAGTTAGGGAACAAGGTCACCAATCTGTGAGCATCCTCTAGAGAGAGAGGAAATGAGTCTTACACAGACACATATATGCAGAGCATTATTTTTACATAAAAGAGGGTGTTCTTGCAATTAGTAAAAAGCAAATGCATTTCAGAATATTAGATTCTAACTCTTCATACTTTGTCATCCTGAATTTTCTCATGTAGGAAATGCTATAAAAATATTATCACAGATTTTTTTAATGAAAAAGGAGCTTTTTCATACTTGAAAACTTTAGAAAGCATTCGTCTAGAGCAGTGGTCTCTAAACTCTTGAGAATTAGCTCTCTTTTCACAAAAAATGTTTTGAGCACTCTCCATAAATATGTATTTATTATAAACTATGTACAATAGTATTAAATATTATGTAATATTATATTCATAAAAATAGAAAACAAAAAAGATTGTTTTTAAAAGCAGAGAAATTTTAATTTTTTCCCCACATCCTTATGTCATCTTGCATACCCATAGGGGTACACGCACTCCACTTTGGGGACCAGAGTGGATTCTGGGAAGAGTAAAGGAGTCATTTTTTTCTTTAGGGATGATTTTAAAGTTGAATGAGCTGTTTTAAATCGAGATCCTAGTTCAGTTTACTTTAGTCCATTGGTTACCAGCTCAGCTTTTTCATTAGAAGGACCACAGTGCAGGGCATGGTGAAGGGGAGACAGGGAACTATATAATCAATTAGCTGCTGAGTTGAGAGGAAAAGGGTTCCTCTTGGGGATTCACAGCCAGCACTGGACCCCTGGGGCTGGGGTGTGGATCTGAGGGGGCAGCCTTGCAAAGCCTCAGAGCAACTTTAGGATTTGTTTTCTGTTTAGGAGCCCAGAAGCAATGTTGTGCTGATTTGGGGGTGGTTTTCAATAGCTCATCCAGTTTCACTTTTCTCCCTCCTGTGGACCCAGGGAAGCGTCTAAATGTGGTTCCTGCACTCCTTATTGACACGCTCCCAAGGGCCCAAATGGTTGTGGAAAGTAATCTATTTGATAAAAAGACTCTCGGTTTCCTACTTTGGTGTCTTGGCCTGATTCCCTGGCAGAGTTTCCTGTTGCTGCTGCCTTCTCAAGACCTATGAAGACTCCCTATTACCTAGCAGATCAAGTCCAGCTTCCTCAACTTGGCACCCAAGACTCCATTTTCTCCATCCAATTCATACGTTATGTGTCTTTCAACTTAAACCTCCCTTCAGGCAGACTGGTCTTCTTACAGCCTTCCCTAATACTACAGTACCCCCCGACCCCACCCCACCGGTGCACGTGTGCACGAGTGTGCTCGTGCGTGCACGCGCGCGCACACACACACACACACACACACACACGCTTATTCTGTCTTTATGGCCTCAGGCTGTTTACTCCAAGTGGAAACCCGTTCTCGTTCTTCTCCATCAGCCAAAACACTACCTACTCTTCAGAAAGGAGATGAGTCCCACTTCCTGTATAAAGGCTTTACTAACTCACTGTTTCTCCAAATGTGGTCCTCAGACAGCCTACATCAGTATCACCTAAGATAGTTGTTATAAATCTGAATCCTTGGTTCTCACCTTAGAACTTGTGAACCGTAACTATGGGAGGCCCAGGAATCTGCATTTTGACAGGGTGCTTATGACGCGCCATGCAAGTTGAGGACCACTGTCATCTGGTAACTTGAGATGCAGCCCTCTCTTTCACCACAGAGTCCAGTTTTCTTTTCAGTTGAGACCTACAGAACAGGCATCTCCGAGTGTTCTACAAAGACTTCTCAGCTTCTGGGTCACTTTTAGGACTCTTCCAGAGAAACTGTGTTCCCATTGCTGCAATTCACTAAGGACCTGCACATCTGGAACATATGAGGGCTGCAGGCATCAAATGCAAGTCCTTTCAAATTATCTCTGTTGCCACTGACTGCACCCATACTGTGAAAGCGGACTCCAAGGGCCAAACGGAGAGCAAACTGAGGGCTGAGGTGTGAGCGGAGCATCAGAGGTACAGTGCGCCTCCCCACAGTGGCAGGGGTGAATATGTTTTTCAGACCCTGGGGGCTGCCAAGAGGAGAGCTGAAGCAGCCATGGCAGTCCTCAGTAGGGTGGAGGAGAACCGCTATGTGTTCTCTGCTGGCTTTTCTCTTTTCTCCAGAGTTTCCCTTTCCCATCAGGGATCACTAGACATGAGCTAGGCTGGAAGATGAGGAGATAGTTCTGTAAACTGAATACTCCTAAGTCTCCCTCTGTTAACTGGACTAATAGTTCAAGTAAGTGCCCGGAGTACCAGCTTCATCTTGGATTGAAAAAAAATCCCCAGATGGAAGTAATTGTATTCATAAGCCCTTTGACTTTATAGAATGCCTTTTCCAGAAAGCTCGAATGAAGCATAGCAGTCTGTGGCATAGCCTAGTTCATTCCTGGACTATCTCCATGTGTTTGGTAAAAGGGCAGCTTCTATAATTTTGTTGTCATTTTGCATTTGGAGGATGGAGAAGCGTTGTGGATTGAAAAGGTCACATGGCATTAGCAGTGGACTGGGAATGTGATACTCAGCTTCCACTCCTGACTCCATCAGTGATTTCCAAACCGAGTCCGTAGACGAATGCCAGGATGGCTGCATAAGAAGCATTTGTGGAGTTAATTCAACATATAGAGTCTTGGACACTATTCCTCTAGAGATTCCAACTCAGTACGTCTGGGGTGAGGGGCAGGATGGGGGGAGCCAGGAACCTGTATTCTTCACAAGCATTCCAGATGATTCTACTGCACTGCCAATCTGGGGAACCAATACTAAAGGCCAGATGACAACCACAATGCCCTCCTTCCCCCTCCCAGGAATGTCTTTGACTGAAAAACCTTTTTAATGTTTCTCATCTTGCCATCCACCCTCAAACTTCCCCAGGTCTCCCAGCTCAGGCCAAGAAACATGCCGAGTCTGCCAAGAACACACTGCTGACCTGGAAGGGAAACACGACCTCAGACAAGGAGAGAAAGGAAATCCTGGAAACTCTGGTCATGCTCTACTACACTCTGGGGGTGGCCTGGCTCCTACAGAGTTGATATCCTTCCCTTCCCAGCGGGGTCTGGAGATCAGGGCCAGGGGCCACGCATGCCACATGGGTCGTCTCGCACAGGGTAAGAGGTGAAACCGAGGCCTCGTAGCTCCATTCTGGCATCCAGGTCTTCCACAAGCCTCTGCTGTCCATCTAGAAAGTACGAATGTTCCTCCTGTGTCTAGTCATATGAGCTCTGAGTTAAGCCATGGGAGGGTTGTCACTGGGGACACATCCCCTGGCCAGCTGAAAGCTTTTGGAGCCTGTCCCGCTCCTCAGAGCACTCAAGACAGTGTTAGCAATGAGGACGCAGGTGATAGCGGTGGTGGCCATGTAGGAAGACAGAAAATGAATGGTAATTTAAAGCACTGTTTGTCAAAGTAGGCTGCACGTTGTAATCCCCTGGGGGAGCTTTCAGAATTATTGCTATTTGGGTCCCACCGCAGAGAGTTTGATTTAGTAGGCCTGGGGAGCATCTGTTCATTGAGATTTTTAAAAGTCCCAGGTGATTGTAACATACAGCCCAAAACCTCTGATTTAATGTACACATGATCATTTTAGTTTTTCTGAAATGCCGTTGAGAACACTGCCCATGAAACCAGAGGCCAAGCAAAATAGACAAAAGAAAGAGTTCTCCATATTTCCAGAGGGGAGTTGTTATATATGCCTCTCCTCAAAAAGCTTGTGATTTTGACAGCTCCTTTTGGTACCATCTCCACCTGAAAACTGTTCAGGGTCTTTCATGTTCATGAATAATCATAAGCCCTCTCTGAGCCCATGTGTCCCCAGTCTCTCCTCTCTACACATCCCCCTCTCTACTTTTTTGGTTCTGATGCTCAGCTTGCAAAATCTGATACGTTTCCTTCCTCTCTTATGCCCTCAGTAGAGGGCTATTGAAAATGTGGGATAGAAGGATATTTGGGAATTAAGGGGATTTTCTTTCCTGCTATTTGCCTCTCGCCCAAAACCTGCTTTGCTTGGACTTTCTAAATGACCCAGAAAGTCCCTTTCAGCAGATTTAGTTCCTCTCTTTTACAGAAACCCACTTGGGAAAAATGAATAATTGTTGTCATGCAGTAGATGCCTCTAAGGAAATCCAGCGTAATTTACGGTTTCCGTTCACTCCAAATGCTCACCACCCATCCTAGCCCTGGACTGCAGCAATACCACAGGACACCCAGGGCCCTGTTCCTTTTCTGAAGAATTCTCCCTTCTTGACAGCATATATAGATGGAAAATAGAGAACATAGGGAGGGTGCATTTTCAAATACTGCCTCGTTTTCCCAAGGGCCCTTTTTGTTTGCTTACCCACTGCTGCCCCTAATCAGTGTGGGGGGTTTGTGTCCCTGGCATTCTCCTTGACTGTTTCACTGGCAGAGAGGCTTATTTCAACCTGCAGACGTCAGAGAGAAACATGGAGGAGCTGAAAAAATCATATAAAGGAGGTGCTTCTGGATTACAGGTCTCAGAGAAAGACCTAACAATTGCTTTGGGCAGGTAAGATCTGGGCTTAGACAAGCTTGGACTTTTATGGCTAAGGCCTGGAATTACATGATTGTCTTGTACTCTCTATATAAAGGGAGAAAAATATTCAGAGCCAAAGACCCAGAGACTCAAACGATAGTAAAAGAGGCTCATATTTGCCAAACGCATACACCATGGTCTAAGCTTCGTGTGCTCTGTCCCATTTAATCCTCACAGCCACCACTGAGGTAGTTAGTGTAATAATTATGTCATTAGAGAGAGGGCAAAGAAACTGAGCTGAGGTTAAACAAACTATCCAAGGTGAAGCTTTTTTTTTTAATATATAAATTTTATTTATTTATTTTTGGCTGCGTTGGGTCTTCATTGCTGCGCGCGGGCTTTCTCTAGTTGCGGCGAGCGGGGGCTATGCTTCGTTGCGGTGCACGGGCTTCTCATTGCAGTGGCTTCTCTTGTTGTGGAGCACGGGCTCTAGACGCGCGGGCTCCAGTAGTTGTGGCACTTGGGTCAGTAGTTGTGGCTCGTGGGCTCTAGAGCGCAGCCTCAGTAGTTATGGTGCACGGGCTTAGTTGCTCTGCGGCATGTGGGATCTTCCCGGACCAGGGATCGAACCCGTGTCCCCTGCATAGGCAGGCAGATTCTTAACCACTGCGCCACCAGGGAAGCCCCAAGGTGATAAGCTTTAAGTGTTGGATCTGAACTTGATCTGAACTTACAGACTGTTAGCCCTTCCTTGTGCCACCTCTCATACTTACTGTAAAATTCCTTTTTTTTCTGAATTGCCACCTACTTTTGTCATCAAGTATGACCACTTAAAAGTTGAGGAAGGAACAGTTAATGAAGACAGTTTATTGGAGGTCTGTGAGTTATGCAGAGCGCGTGCATTTTAAGGGAAAGTTGTGTTCCATATGGAAACAAAGTTCATGAAATTTGTTCAAGCCAGAATGAGACTTAACTGTTTCACAGTTGAGTTAGGGATCCTCTGAGAATCAGAATATTTAGATACGAGAGTGGGCCCATCAGATTATCAGAAGAAAAAAAAAGAATAATAAAAGATTTACTATCCCCTAGAGTTTTCAAATATCTTCACATCCTTAAAAGCAATCTGTTTCCAAAACTGTAAGCACTTGGCATGGTAGGGTAGGTGACGGAATGGTAAGGAAATGACATGAGTCATGCCTGCCTCCTCTAAAAAGCCATGAATCTAGAAGTCAAATGGGAAATGGCAGGGAGATGTCCGAACGTCCAGAGTTAAATATGGAATTAAGTCCATAGGCCCATAAATTAGAGTCTAGTGAATGTCTACTGCTGTCACACAGGGCAGTGACTAAGGTTTTTGTGCTTTTGTGAAAGATAGCCTTGTTCCTCTTTCAGAATAAATTTGAGTGCATATTTCATTCGTCCATTCCACACTGTTGACCTGTTTTGTACATGCACTGTTCTAAGTGTTGGAACGTTTACTAAAGTATAACTACATCCTAGACACTGTCCTAAGTGCTTTACATAATTTATTTCACTCAGTCTTATACCACAAGCATATGAGGTAGGTATTTTTCTGTTTAATTTACAGATAAGAAAATTAAGGCATGGAAAAATTAAGTAGCTCAGGGTGACAGAACTAATAGGAGAGCCAGCACTGGGTCGTCTGAATCCCTAGCTCACCTTCTATGACACACTGAGTTATGTCTGATACCTACCAAATATCTAGGAAGGGCAAATCCTTTTTCCCATTTGAAGGGTGGGGAAAATGAGGCCAGGTTGCTCAGGCAGGTCAGACAGCTTGGCTGATTATCCCCCTACAAGCTCTTGATGAAAGGCATTATCATGCTGTAACTTGTGCTCTTATGGTCAAGGGAAAGAGTGGTCTGATTGACAAAAAAAAATTTTTGTGTGTGTGAAGAATTATCAGATAACATGCCTTATATATTCTTTTGACTGAAAATTCTAATCTTCAGGGGAGGGAGAAACCTTCCAGCTTCAAATGAACTGTAACTATTGCAGAATGCCTTATATAAAATAATTTTATACACACACTTATATTTTTAATTCAACTTGGGAATACAAAGATGGGGGCATGGGGTAAGGGAGAAGAAATTGATTGTGTATCTACTATATGTTAGGCAATTTTACATATTATTTTAAATCTAATCTTCATAACAACCTTGTAATTTAGGTATTCTTAACCTGCTTTTATTTGGAAGGAAATAAAGACTCCTGGAGCTTGCCCATAAAGCTAATAACTGAGAAGTAGCTTTGAACTACTCATGTTCTTCTCTTTGTGTCTTGCTAAATCTAGAAGAGAAACCTAAATGAATGCTATTTTATTATCATTAAAAAATTATATTCCCCATTTGTTTTGGAAATTTGAAAGAACAGACATACATGAAGAAAATAAAAGTCAATTGTAATGTCACCACCCAGACATAACTGCTATGAACATTTCAGTTATTTCTCTCTCTCTTTCTATATATATATATATATATTTAAATATAAATATATGTGTATATACACACATATATAAACACACACATATATACATGTCAGAATTATATGTATATATTTAACATCTTTATTGGAGTATAATTGCCTTACAATGGTGTGTTAGTTTCTGCTTGACAACAAACTGAATCACCTATACATATACATACATCCCCATATCTCCTCCCTCTTGCATCTCCCTCCCACCCTCCCTATCGCACCCCTCTAGGTGGTCACAAAGCACCGAGCTGATCTCCCTGTGCCATGTGGCTGCTTCCCACCAGCTATCCATTTTTACATTTGGTAGTATATATAAGTCCATGCCACTCTCACTTTGTTCCAGCTTACCCGTCCCCCTCCCTGTATCCTCAAGTCCATTCTCTATGTCTGTGTCTTTATTCCTGTCCTGCTCCTACGTCCTTCAGAACAATTTTTTTCTGATTCCATATGTATGTGTTAGCATACATTATTTGTTTTTCTCTTTCTGACTTACTTCACTCTGTATGACAGACTCTAGGTCCATCCACCTCAATACAAATAACTCAATTTCATTTCTTTTTATGGCTGAGTAATATTCCATTGTATATATGTGCCACATCTTCTTTATGCATTCATCTGTTGATGGACACTTAGGTTGCTTCCATGTCCTGGCTATTGTAAATAGAGCTGCAATGAACACTGTGGTACATGACTCTCTTTTTTTTGAAATTTTTATTTTTATTTTATTTTTTTATACAGCAGGCTCTTATTAGTTATCCATTGTATACATGTTAGTGTATATATGTCCATCCCAATCTCCCAATTCATCACACCACCACCACCCCCCTGCCACTTTCCCCCTTGGTGTCCATACGTTTGCTCTCTACATCTGTGTCTCAATTTCTGCCCTGCAAACCGATTTATCTGTATCATTGTTCTAGGTTCCATATATATGCGTTAATATACGATATTTGTTTTTCTCTTTCTGGCTTACTTCATTCTGTATGACAGTCTCGAGATCCATCCACGTTTCTACAAATGACCCAATTTCGTTCCTTTTTATGGCTGAGTAATATTCCATTGTATATGTGTACCACATCTTCTTTATCCATTCGTCTGTCGATGGACATTTAGGTTGCTTCCATGTCCTAGCTATTGTAAATAGTGCTGCAATGAACATTGGGGTGCATGTGTCTTTTTGAATTATGGTTTTCTCTGGGTATATGCCCAGTAGTGGGATTGCTGGGTCATATGGTAATTCTATTTTTAGTTTTTTAAGGAACCTCCATACTGTTCTCCATAGTGGCTGTATCAAATTTGCATTCCCACCAATAGTGCAAGAGGGTTCCCGTTTCTCCACACCCTCTCCAGCATTTGTTGTTTGTAGATTTTCTGATGATGCCCATTCTGACTGGTGTGAGGTGATACCTCATTGTAGTTTTGATTTGCATTTCTCTAATACTTACTGATGTTGAGCAGCTTTTCATGTGCTTCCTGGCCATCTGTATGTCTTCTTTAGAGAAATATCTATTTAGGTCTTCTGCCCATTTTTGGACTGGGTTGTTTGTTTTTTTTAATATTGAGCTGCATGAGCTATTTATATATTTTGGAGATTAATCCTCTGTCCATTGATTCATTTGCAAATATTTTCTCCCATTCTGAGGCTTGTCTTTTTGTCTTGTTTGTAGTTTCCTTTGCTTTGCAAAAGCTTTTAAGTTTCATTAGGTCCTATTTGTTTATTTTTATTTTTACTTCCATTACTCTAGGAGGTGGATCAAAAAAGATCTTCCTGTGATTTATGTCAAAGAGTGTCCTTCCTATGTTTTCCTCTAAGAGTTTTATAGTGACCTGTCTTACATTTAGGTCTCGAATCCATTTTGAGTTTATTTTTGTGTATTGTATTAGGGAGTGTTCTAATTTCATTCTTTTACATGTAGCTGTCCAGTTTTCCCAGCACCACTTATTGAAGAGACTCTCTTTTCTCCATTGTACATCCTTGCCTCCTTTGTCATACATTAGTTGACCATAGGTGTGTGTGTTTATCTCTGGGCTTTCTATCCTGTTCCATTGATCTATCCTGTTCCACTGTTTTTGTGCCAGTACCATATTGTCTTGATTACTGTAGCTTTGTAGTATAGTCTGAAGTCAGGGAGTCTGATTCCTCCAGCTCTGTTTTTCTTTCTTATGACTGCTTTGGCTATTTGAGGTCTTTTGTGTTTCCATACAAATTGTGAAATTTTTTGTTCTAGTTCTGTGAAAAATGCCATTGATAGTTTGATAGGGATTGCATTGAATCTGGAGATTGCTTTGGGTAGTATAGACAGTTTCACAATGTTGATTCTTCCAATCCAAGAACATGGTATATCTCTCCATCTGTTTGTATCATCTTTAATTTCTATCATCAGTGTCTTATAGTTTTCTGCATAGAGGTCTTCAGTCTCCTTAGCTAGGTTTATTCCTAGGTATTTCATTCTTTTTGTTGCAATGGTAATGGCTGTGTTTCCTTAATTTCTCTTTCAGATTTGTCATCATTAGTGTATAGGAATGCAAGAGATTTCTGTGCATTAATTTTGTATCCTGCAACTTTACCAAATTCATTGATTAGCTCTAGTAGTTTTCTGGTAGCATCTTTAGGATTCTCTATGTATGGTGTCATGTCATCTGCAAACAGTGACAGCTTTACTTCTTCTTTTCCAATTTGGATTCCTTTCATTTATCTTCTCTGATTGGTGTGGCTAAAACTTCTAAAACTATGTTGAATAATAGTGGTGAGGATGGACAGCCTTGTTTTGTTCCTGATCTTAGAGGAAATGGTTTCAGCTTTTCAACATAGAGAATGATGTTGGCTCTGAGTTTCTCATATATGGCCTTTATCATGTTGAGGGACGTTCCCTCTATGCCTACTTTCTGGAGGGTTTTTATCATAAATGGGTGTTGAATTTTGTCAAAAGCTTTTTCTGCATCTAATGAGATGGTCATATGATTTTTCTCCTTCAGTTTGTTAATATGGTTTATCACATTGATTGATTTGCATATATTGAAGAATCCTTGCATTCCTGGAATAAACCCCACTTGATTATGTCGTATGATCCTTTTAATGTGCTATTGCATTCTGTTTGCTAGTATTTTGTTGAGGATTTTTGCATCTATGTTCGTCAGTGATATTGGCCTGTAGTTTTCTTTCTTTGTGACATCCTTGTCTGGTTTTGGTATCAGGGTGATGGTGGCCTTGTAGAATGAGTTTGGGAGTGTTCTTCCCTCTGCTATAATTTGGAAGAGTTTTAGAAGGATAGGTGTTAGCTTTTCTCTAAATGTTTGATAGAATTCGCCTGTGAAGCCATCTGGTCCTGGGTTTTGTTTGTTGGAAGATTTTTAATCACAGTCTCAATTTCAGTGCTTGTGATTGGTCTGTTTATATTTCCTATTTATTCCTGGTTCAGTCTTGGAAGGTTGTGCTTTTCTAAGAATTTGTCCATTTCTTCCAAGTTGTCCATTTTATTGGCATATAGTTGCTTTTAGTAATCTCTCATGATCCTTTGTATTTCTGCAGTGTCCATGTTACTTCTCCTTTTTCATTTCTAATTCTATTGATTTGAGTCTTCTCCCTTTTTTTCTTGATGAGTCTGGCTAATGGTTTATCAATATTGTTTATCTTCTCAAAGAACCAGCTTTTAGTTTTATTGATCTTTGCTATTGTTTACTTCATTTCCTTTTCATTTATTTCTGATCTGATCTTTGTGATTTCTTTCCTTCTGCTAATGTTGGTTTTTTTTTTTGTTCTTTCTCTGATTGCTCTAAGTATAAGGATAGGTTGTTTATTTGAGATGTTTCTTGTTCTTGAAGTAGGATTGTATTGCTATAAACTTCCCACTTAGAACTGCTTTTGCTGCATCCCATACATTTTGGGTCGTTGTGTTTTCTTTGTCATTTGTTTCTAGGTATTTTTTGATCTCCTCTTTGGTTTCTTCAGTGATCTCTTGGTTATTAAGTAGTATATTGTTTAGCCTCCATGTGTTTGTATTTTTTACAGATTTTTTTCCTGTAATTGATATCTAGTCTCATAGCATTGTGGTCGGAAAAGATACTTGATATGATTTCAATTTTCTTAAAGTTACCAGGGCTTCATTTGTGACCCAAGATATGATCTATCCTGGAGAATGTTCAATGAGCACTTGAGAAGAAAGTGTATTCTGTTGTTTTTGGATGGAATGTCCTATAAACATCAATTAAGTCCATCTTGTTTAATATATCATTTAAAGCTTGTGTTTCTTTATTTATTTTCATTTGGATCATCTGTCCATTGGTGAATGTGGGGTGTTAAAGTCTCCTACTATGATTGTGTTACTGTTGATTTCCCCTTTTATGGCTGTTAGCATTTGCCTTATATATTGAGGTGCTCCTGTGTTGGGTGCATAAATATTTACAATCGTTATATCTTCTTCTTGGATTGATCCCTTGATCATTATGTAGTGTCCTTCTTTGTCTCTTGTAATAGTGTTTATTTTAAAGTCTATTTTGTCTGATATAAGAATTGCTACTCCAGGTTTCCTTTGATTTCCATTTGCATGGAATATCTTTTTCTATCCCCTCACTTTCAGTCTGCATGTGTCCCTAGGTCTGAAGTGGGTCTCTTGTAGACAGCATATATATGGGTCTTGTTTTTGTATCCATTCAGCCAGTCTGTGTATTTTGGTGGGAGCATTTAATCCATTTACATTTAAGGTAATTATTGATTTGTATGTTCCTATTACCATTTTCTTAATTGTTTAGGGTTGGTTCTTTGTTATTGTAGGTCTTTTCCTTCTCTTGTGTTTCCTGCCTAGGGAAGTTCCTTTAGCATTTGTTGTAAAGCTGGTGTGGTGGTGCTGAATTCTCTTAGCTTTTGCTTGTCTGTAAAGGTTTTAATTTCTCCATCAAATATGAATGAGATCCTTGCTGGGTAGAGTAATCTTGGTTGTAGGTTTTTCCCTTTTATCACTTTAAATATGTCCTGCCACTCCCTTCTGGCTTGCAGAGTTTCTGCTGAAAGATCAGCTGATTCCCTTGTATGTTATTTGTTGTTTTTCGCTTGCTGCTTTTCATATTTTTTCTTTGTGTTTAATTTTTGATAGTTTGATTAATATGTGTCTTGGCATGTTTCTCCTTGGATTTATCCTGTATGGGACTCTCTGTGCTTCCTGGACTTGATTGACTGTTTCCTTTCCCATATTAGGGAAATTTTCAACTATCATCTCTTCAAATATTTTCTCAGACCCTTTCTTTTTCTCTTCTTCTTCTGAGACCCCTATAATTCGAATGTTGGTGTGTTTAATGTTGTCCCAGAGGTCTCTAAGACTGTCCTCAATTATTTTCATTCTTTTTTCTTTATTCTGCTCTGCAGTAGTTATTTCCACTATTTTATCTTCCAGGTCACTTATCATTCTTCTGCCTCAGTTATTCTGCTATTGATTCCTTCTAGAGAATATTTAATTTCATTTATTGTGTTGTTCATCATTGTTTGTTTGCTCTTTATTTCTTCTAGGTCCTTGTTAAATGTTTTTTGTATTTTCTCCATTCTATTTTCACAATTTTGCATCATCTTTAGTATCATTGCTCTGAATTATTTTTCAGGTAGACTGTCTATTTCCTCTTCATTTGTTTGGTCTGTTGGGTTTTTCCCTTGCTCCTTCATCTGCGGTGTGTTTCTCTGTCTTCTCATTTTGCTCAACTTATTGTGTTTGGGGTCTCCTTTTTGCAGGCTGCAGGATTGTAGTTCCTGTTGTTTTTGGTGTCTGCCCCCAGTGGCTAAGGTTGGTTCAGTGGGTTGTGTAGGCTTCCTGGTGGAGGGGACTGGTTCCTGTGTTCTCGTGGATGAGGCTGGATCTTGACTTTCTGTTGGGCAGGACCGTGTCCGGTGGTGTGTTTTGGGGTGTCTGTGACCTTATTATGATTTTAGACAGCCTCTCTGCTAATGGGTGGGTTTGTTTTCCTGTCTTGCTAGTTGTTTGGCATAGGGTGTCCAGCACTGTAGATTGCTGGTTGTTGGGTGGAGGTGGGTCTTAGCGTTGAGAAGGAGATCTCTGGGAGAGCTTTTGCCATTTGATATTATGTGGAGCCAGGCGGTCTTTGGTGGACCAATGTCCTGAACGTGGCTCTCTCACCTCAGAGGCACAGTCCTGACACCCGGCTGGTGCACCAAGACCCTGTCAGTCACACAGCTCAGAGGAAGAGGGAGAAAAAAGGAAAGAAAAAATAAAAAGAAAGAAAGTTGTTAAAATAAAAAATTTTTAAAATGTTACAAATAAAAAAAACCTAAAAATAATTTTAAAAAAAGAAGAAAGAAAGAAAGAAAGAGAGCAACCAAACCAAAAAACAAATCCACCAATGATAACAAGCGCTAAAAACTATACCAAAAAAAAACCCCCAAAACGGACAGACAGAACCCTAGGACAAATGGTAAAAGCAAAGCTATCCAAACAAAATCACACAAAGAAGCATACCTATACACACTCACAAAAAGGAAAAAAGGAAAAAAATATATATCTACATATAAAAAAAAGAAAGGAAGAGAGCAACCAAATCAATAAACATATCTACCAATGATAATAAACTCTAAATAGTAAACTAAGAGTAAACATAAAAGCAGAAACCAGTCAGTCGCATACAGCAAACCCTAAGTCTACAGTTGCTCCCAAAGTCCACTGTGTCAATTTGGGATGATTCATTGTCTATTGAGGTATTCCACAGATGCAGGGTACATCAAGTTGACTGTGGAGATTTAATCCGCTGCTCCTGAGGCTGCTGGGAGGGATTTCCCTTTCTCTTCTGTGTTCACACAGCTCCCGGGGTTCAGCTTTGGACTTGGACCTGCCTCTGCATGTAGGTCGCCTGAGGGCATCTGTTTCCGCCCAGACGGGTCGGGGTTAAAGGAGCAGCTGATTCGGGGGCTCTGGCTCACTCAGGCGGTGGGGAGGGAGGGGTGAGGGAGGGGTACAGATGCGGGGCGAGCCTGTGGCGGCAAAGGCCAGTGTGACATTGCACCAGCCTGAGGCGCGCTGTGTGTTCTCCCGGGGAAGTTGTCCCTGGATCACGGGACCCTGGCAGTGGCGGGCTGCACAGGCTCCCGGGAGGGGAGGTGTGGAGAGTGACCTGCGCTTGTACACAGGCTTCTTGGTGGCGGCAGCAGCAGCCTTAGCGTCTCATGCCTGTCTCTGAGGTCCGTGCTGATAGCCGCGACTCGCGCCCGTCTCTGGACTCATTTAAGCGGCGCTCTGAATCCCCTCTCCTCACGCACCCCAAAGCAATGGTCTCTTGCCTCTTTTGGCAGTTCCAGACTTTTTCCTGAACTCCCTTCCAGCTAGCTGTGGCACACTAGCCCCCTTCAGGCTGTGTTCACGCAGCCAACCCAGTTCTCTCCCTGGGATCCGACAGAAGCCCGAGCCTCGGCTCCCAGCCCCCGCCCACCCGGGCGGGTCAGCAGACAAGCCTCTCGGACTGGTGAGTGCTGGTCGGCACCGATCCTCTGTGCGGTAATCTCTCCGCTTTGCTCTCCGCACCCCTGTGGCTGCGCTCTCCTCCGCGGCTCCGAAGCTTCCCCACTCCGCCACCTGCAGTCTCCGCCCGTGAAGGGGCTTCTAGTGTGTGGAAACCTTTCCTCCTTCACAGCTCCCTCCCACTGGTGCAGGTCCCGTCCCTATTCTTTTGTCTCTGTTTATTCTTCTTTCTATTACCCTACCCAGGTACGTGGGGAATTTCTTGTCTTGGGAGGTCTGAGGTCTTCTGCCAGTGTTCAGTAGGTGTTCTGTAGGAGCTGTTCCATATGTAGATGTATTTCTGATGTATTTGTGGGGAGGAAGGTGATCTCCACGTCTTACTCCTCTGCCATCTTGAAGGTCTTACCAGGTTTAAATTTTAAGTATAGTTTTATAACTGTAGTTTGAACTTAGCACATTAAAATTTTTTCTCCATATTAGTCTAGAAAGGAAACAGGATTAGTGTCTGAAGTATCTTGTTGTATGGTGTGCCATGATTTAGCCATCCCCTTTTGGGGGGGGATTTACACTGTTTTCTCTATCCTCTCTCATTTTTAACTGAGGAGGAATAAACTAAACTAAATCAAACAAAGGAAAACCTCTGCTTTGGCCTAAAAGAGAGGCAGCCAGAGGTAATAAAATTTTATTTTGATTTTCGAAAGTGTTTGTTTATGGGTAAATTATCACATGTTATGAACTGCCATAGGCCATCTTTTCCCTTTGCTTTTTTATAAAATTAGACTATAGCATGATATATTAATGGGTTTGATGAATGGTAGTCAGTGGAATCTGGTGGGTAAAATGCAGCTTAGTAGGAGTTTGTTTACAACAAGGCTAGGTTTTGAGCCAGCCACTCACATGATTGGCCTATGAAGACCAAATCGTTTAGTTCTTAGAATCGGTTCCTTGTGCATCTGCAAAGCAAGTGGCCTCTCTGTGACTTTCCATTCTTGTCCCTTTTCTTATAAAGCCTCCTTGGCCAACCGCAGGTTAAACCTAGCTCTGGCATACTTTGAAAAGGCAGTTGACAATGTTATTGCTGCTAAGGGTGTTAGGACATCAGATCTGGTTGGTCTTTATGAGGAAATTGCTCAGATCGAGCAGCTGAGGAGGAACCATGACCAGGCCATCCAGTACTTGCAGCAGGTAGGTGGGTTGGCTGAAGCCCTGGCCAGGTGGGCTTGTTTGGCCCCAGGCCCAATTCCCAGGGCCAGGGACACTTGGGCTTCTCAGAACAGGGGATGGGATTGATTTTCCTCCAGATCCACACAAGAGACCTTCCTCAACTTTAAATGACCTGGACAGAGAACAACGACTCACAGTGGGCCTATCCGCTGTGTGACCTGATTTAAGACAGCATTTCCCCTACCAGGCTTCCCTCACCTCTATCTGTACTGGGAAGAGGGAGCTGAGAAAGTCTACTCCAGGGAAGAAAGCCATAGGGGCAACTGAACTTAAGTCTTTAGCAAATGCAAAGGACTTTTTTTTTTTTTTTTTTTTTTTTTTTG